CAGCCTTTTTCTGATTTAGAAGTGTCTTATATTCGGTTTATTGTATAGTTGTTGCAGATTTTCATTTTTCSTTCTTTCAAATCTTCCSAATTCATTGTTATATACTGGTCCATAAATTATCAATRATTTAATAATTTAAACTCATAAAATATCAAATATTAAAAATATATGCATCCATATCTTGACAACGATTGACTTAAAGAAAGTCCTTAAATTTTGTCATGATATATAGATAAAATTTCGTAATTGATTATCCTTAGTATGACCATATAGGTTGTTACTTCATATTAACATGCAGTATACCACTCCACTCGTCCATACTGTCATACCACAAAGCCTTATTATCAGAGACTTTATTATTTAGAAATATTATCTTCTTAATTTTTTTTTTCACTTATACGGCTATATTATGTTTGAATGTTTCATAAAATTATTTAAATCGCGTTTTAAAATAGGAGGCAGTTGAAACTTACCAAATTACATACTATAATTATAGGTAACTATTGTATTATTTTCATCAATAAGCATCATCATTCTCCATACACGCGATTGCATTTCGTTGACGTTTATTCTCTTAGATGTTTCGAAAATTATTTTATACCTACTGCGTATTAAGTGAGAATACACTTAAAGAATATTTTTATTTAATGTCTAAGCATGTTATTTTAATTTTTAACGGCTTTAGAAAATCGGCTATAAATTACAGTAATGCAATTATTTTCAAAAACTATTTATAATTTAGTAGTTTAGTCGCTGTAAAATATATTATTTTTAACATTAATTGTAATAAATAAACTTTTTATYAGACAGGTATAAAGCTTTAAAATATAAATAATCAGATCATTTATCAGCGAAAACTGATGAATCCATTAACTCATAAAATATCAAATAGGTATTACAAATATATGCATCCATATCTTATATATTATTTCTATAAATTTCTGAACAAACTTTCCTAGACTCAATTATCATTTTATCAATATGGCATTTAAAAAATATATTAACCAACTAAATAGTTAAATAGGTGCATGCAAACCCCACCGATTGGCGATTGCAATCTTTTAACATTTTTTTAAATGTAAATTCCACTAGTACGTTTTTTTACGTAAAAATAATGAACCTAATAAACTCAGGAATTCTCGATCAAAAACATGCCAAAAATATTTAAACCCTATATAGTTTTGTCATACAAGGAAAAAAATATTTTTATGAGACAATAATGCAATTCGCCAAAGCTGCATCTATAATCATTAAAAAACTCAATTTTAAATTGTATTCAAGTAATTTTTTTTGTGATTCATTCATGATTATACATATTTATTTTTTGGCTAACTCAGGTAATCATTTTTAATTATTATAAAATCTTCAAATAAATGAAAAAAGATCTAAGTATCTAAATATAATATATAATATATTTATATATACTCGTATTAAATCTGTATATAAATGATAACATTTATATACAGATTTAACAGTATTGTAGCTTGGTGAAGCGCGGTCGTATGCTCCATCTGCGGAAACGCACTGAGTGTACGTACCGGCCGCAGTTACTAGCTCTCGGATGGGTGACCACCCGGGATTTTTAGCAACATATCCTTGCCACACAAACACGTATTACAACCCTATCCACTTAAAAAACCTACAAACTCAATACACAAAAATAACCCCTATCGTTTCACCCTACAACCAATGGCCTATTTATAGCGAATGGCCTTAATCGCCGGGCTTTAGATCAATAAAAAAAAATAAAATTATTATTGATCATTATAAATATTTTTATATACCTATTATGTGTTTATTTTTTTTTTTGTTTTTTTGTTAATATAAATACTGCTAAATAAGGAAAATAAATAATAATTTTTTTTTAAATCATAATTTTAATTTTATTTTATTATAAAACTTATCAGTGAAATTTACATGTTATAAATCCAATCCTAAAATCGATTACTTGTAAATCGGTGGGATTTACAATCGMCTAGTTATAAATATGTACATAATTTTTTTCATGATAAACAATTATAAGTTAATTCAAGCCATTTAATAGGTATTTGTTTAAAATACAGTATTTATAAATTTCAACACATTTAATATGACTACCTAGCAATTAATTGTAAAAGCATGAAGTATTTTATAGTTTTAAAATATATTCGTTGTCGCAAATTAAATAAATATTTGTTCAAGTTTTTTTAAATTTTATGATGTAGTTACAAATATTATAATATCGTTCTAACAAAATATGTGGCCGATTTATAAAAATATATATGATTAAATGATTTATCCGATGAACCAGTGTTGCTAATATATTCTTGATTTCRTAGTTGCAAATGACTAATAAGGGTAGACTTATGGGCTAAACTAAGGGGTCAATCCAAAATAAATACGAAAATTMGGCGTACCAATTTACACATTCAATACAATCATAACATTTATTATATAATTATTAATAATTATAGTACCTACATTTTATTTATAGCACATTTATAATATTTATACATATTTATAAATTCATTTATACCATAAAGATTATACAATAGTAAAAACATTTATAATCATATTTTATTTTATAATATCAATACATGTGTAAGTTTTCCCTTTACAGATTAATATTAATTTATAATTATGATGATTAGGTTACTCAAATTTGTTTGAAACTTTGAWTTTTAATAATTAATGACACTTGTTTTTTTTTTGGTCACACTTTAAAATTATTAAACATATTTACTAGTTTACTACATATGTCGTTTAAAATGGACCATAAAAAAAGATTAAGGGTCGCGGGTAAGACCGCCCTGAGCTAAACCAATTAAAAGCCAAAAATAATTTTGAAATATACTATCTCAWACACGTTTTTCATCACCAAATTAAACACATTAAGCCTCTAGCTCCYCCCTCTTCAAAAATGTTTAGGTATCTAATTGCACTTGATCTATCTAATATCTATACTTTAATTATTTATTGATACCATCATGTAGTGTTACTATACATATTATAGTTACTATRTGGAATCTTATTCTTTAACCTGTATTCTATATACAATAGTATTTTAAATAAAATTTAGAGCAATATGGATTGTATTTTATGTATACCCCATGTATCGTGTTTTATTATAAATTATAATTTWTAATGTACCTACTATTGAAATAGCCCACTTAAAACTATCATAATATATAAGGGTTGGATTATTAAATTAATAATATTAKGATTTAGATTATTATTTTGTTTATTAAAAATAGCCTAAATTGTATTTATTCGTGTAAGTTCTTATTTAAAATACCCATATTATTGTTTATTTATTTTGATTTTATGCATTGGCAGCTATGACTATCATTAGCATATTTTTATTATTTTAAAACTATAATTTAATTTGTTTACTATGGAATTTAAAAAAAATAAAATTGACTATATTTATATGTCGCCTAACATCAGTTGATGATCACTATAAATTGAGAAAATAATTAATTATTATAATTATTATTTTAATTATAACCTTGCAAAAATAAAAAGTTAATAGCCTTGAAAAATTAGATTATGTCATTACCTACACATATTACTACTAATATTACATCTATTTCATGAAAACGTGATTAAACCTCTTTCATTTTTACAATTGTTATGGTTTAAGTCTAAAAAAATAACGTATTATATGCTATTTTTATTCATTATTATTAAATATGCCGTATAAAAAATATACTTATGTTATAATTATAAATATTAAATAAACAGCACGATACAAAGCACTTTCACCGAGTTAAGTAAAGTGAGATAAATACTCAACTGTCAGCATACAATCTATACGTGTCCAGTATTTTATATTTTTATTTTTTAATGCTTTATAGGTTATATTATTTAATTACTACTTAAGTTTTTTAATCGTCTTATTCTTGATGGCATAATACGCTCATATATTATGTTTAATTTAGATTTTAATATTGTTTTAATTGAATGCTATTGAATCGTTATAKGATTATTTAAAGTTCTAATGATATGATATTTTTAAGTAGTTATAATTGTATTAATTAAGCTAGTAGTATGCATTAGATTAATCGCTTAAGATTTATTCATAGCAAAAAATATTATGGAAATCTAAGAATAGCGTATTTTAAATTCTGATAAATGTTATCATGAATTAAATTTTCAAAYCTTAGGTGTTAAAATCAAAAATTTCATGGATTTTTAACTACAAAATAGTTKACAAATTGTTTTGGTTTTGACGATTGTCGTTAATTGTTTTCCATTGCCCATTAAAATGCTGAAAAAATACCAAATAGTTCAAACCACTTTTATTATTCAATTAGGTACTCGTTTAAAATTTACTGATGTTGTTTTTTTACAATATTACGTCATTATATTGTATAAAATTTAAGTACAATCACAAAATTTTTCTTTTGGATTTGTACRTATCAGCCATATCCAAGACGAACACGTGACGCTTGCACATAAATTATACATTATAATTTATAATACGGTAATTACAATCTGGTGCAAATATAATAGAAAAATTGCTTTCAAAAATCATTACAAACATTATGTATACCAGCCAAAAACAATAACAAACGACGACGGTACATTTTTATAAACAACAGGTAGTACAACAGCCAACAATTTAGTATTATAGTAGCTATTTATGAACAATCATTTACATATTAAAAATATCAATGCGTACACATGTATATAATGTAATATGTTATATGCTTGTATACCATATAACATGTCCTTAATAATAATATTGATAGCTGATATAAATATTCCGCTACTGTCCGCACGCTTTTTTTAGATGACCTAAAATATGAGCCAGTAGTAATGAGTATATAATATTTTATTTATGTATACTATACATGTACAATAATAGCCGTTTGCGGTCGTCTTCGGGGAGGGGGAAACCTCTGAGCCGAGTTCGCCCCACACCATAGCCGATCGGTCGTGTTTTCACCTTTACACGCGTGCGTGTACGAGAGCGTTGGTCACGATTATCGAAGTCTGCCACTATACTATTGGATTGGGTTTTGTTTGGGTCTTCCATTCCCGTGCGCGTCCGCTACGAACACGGTCCGTCGACGACACGCGGCCGCCAGTTTTTTGTGTTGTTTTACAATAATATTGTTTTTTTAGCATAATAAACAATTAGCGTATTGCGGTTATCGCACGTATATTATCGTAAATGCACTTGTGGTACAACCGGCAACATTCGATCGTCAGCTGCTGTAGTGCGTTATCGCAGTCGTAACAGTTTTAATAATAACGGTCGTTATACCCCCGATTCATCATCCCCCGAGTGTCTAGCGTTCGTTTGTCGACCGATAGCCACGTGTTTGTTCGAAAGCATTTCAATATTATATAATAATATTATTATTATTATTATTATTTATCCCGATTGTTGCGCCGGTGCTATTTTGTGTCGCATTTCCTACCGTTTGCGCCGCCGTTGTCGCATCGTGAAGATAAAATTATTCAAACTCAAAAGTATAATATGAGAATGAGCGACATGACCGTGTGCCCTGTGGCCAGTCGACAATCGTTCTTTGACTCGTTCACCGTAGTCTCCAAAGCCATCGGACAGTTAGAAAAACTTATGTCCGGCAAAGTGAGTTGACGCAATTTTATTATCATGATAAACCTACTGTTCGTAAATCCGTATAGTTGCACGTTATTGTTATTATAATATATTCTCGATGCGTGTTGCAACTGAAGCAGTCATGAATTCATGATGTGCGAACGATTACCAATATTATCGTTACATTATTATTGATACCTACATGATTGAGCGCGCAGGTAAATGAATTACTATCGCTGTAAATACCCGAAAAACGCTTTATTTTTAAACAGCCCCTTCCATCGCCGCTGTTTCCAGAATCAGCTGTAAAATATTATATTTCCGTTGGGAATAATTGTAGTAAGTTTGTAGCCCGCCAACCACTATGATACAAATTACAAAATTCTAATCTAACGTCGTGTGCAGAGTGTCATCTACACCATATTTATACGATGTAGACAATTTTTGACATTATAATTTAGTATTTCCACGTGCGTTTAAAATTAAAATAACTGATACGYATCCTTAGCACGATTCCCCTGACTTAGCAGCGATGGGCAAACTCATTCAACAGGTATGTGACATTGTGTGAAGTATACTTAAAATAAACGCAGACCGTAATTACCGAGGTAATTTCGGTACAAACCGCGAAACCGAAGTGTGCCCTAAATAATTTTCATTTAAAAAAGACTATGCGTTATAAAACAACCGCTTTTAGATTACTCTAAATATGATTATATACACATTTTAGCCTTGGTTCTTGCATAACGCTTCGCGCTAATCTGATAATATAGACTATATAGGTATACGTTATAATCATATTCGCAAGTTTTTTAAATAAATATACATGTATAATATATTATATGTACCTATACTAAAACTGTGTTATTTTTAAACTAGACATTTACTCAGCGATACGATTATTTGGTTGTTTTCTTTGCAATTTATTATTACGCGCGAAATTTTTTTTCATCGCAAATTTCTGATATTTTTATGCATAATATGTGTGATCCGGGTAGTGTATTAGCCGTATACATACACTATGTACCTACAGTTATCGCAAGTATGTATATATAGCATTATATAGTCATATTTTATCCGTTTGTCGAGTTAACGCCACTGCTCCTTCGCTGCAACGGCACCGTATCTTCGTTTCCCTCGCGATCATCGCGTGTACAGCAAAATTGTATTTATTAAAAACAGTGAAACACACATCTATGGGGCCTCACTGATTTCAAAGTACACAATTTGGAATTTTGACCCAAGTCCGTCATTCAAAATAAACACATCCGGTCGAATCGGTGATGTCAGCGACGCGCGTGCACCGATTTCCTTCCTATCCGTTTCGTCGGCTGGGTGTTCCCTTGAATTTCAATCGTATTTCGTATGATACTTACGTATCTATTTTAATATGTAATAGCCATTTCTCCGAAGTAGGTACTCCCAACAGTGTTGATCGCTGCTGCACGTCACAAGGACTCGTCGTCGTTAATTTAAACTGAAATAATTAAGTACACGTTTCTATTTAAATGTTTTTTTCTACTTTTTTGCGTAAAACAATAGACTCGTCGGATGACGAAAACCTTGACTGTTGATTACATTTTTATATTATTATGTCAATATACACGTTGCCACATTATATTATGTACATTGTACCTACGTGATAAATAATTTGACAATTTGACTTTTTCATGATCGTAAGTTTGTCCCACTTTTGATTGTCAATCGTTAAGATAAGGTTAGGTTGCTATATCATTCTCGGTACTTTCGGGAATAGACATGACGTGGTTTTATATTGAATTAATGGCCGTTATAACTAATAGCCTTTTGTCTCCAGTTTTAATCCGTCAATAAATCTCACATTATTACATTTATTTTTAAATCCTATTCATTACCGGTTCCTTTAACCTACATGATTCAAATGATTCAATATATTATTCTGTATATTTCATTCGTGATCTTAATTAGGTACCACATAAATTAATATTATGTCTCCCAGAAATCTATTTTTACTTATGATATATTATTGTAAAATATGATATTTTTTCATTATTATGGTGATAACTATTAAACTTGTAATATAAATTGAAGTTTATTATTTTTTATATTTTAACGAGAACATTTTTTGCAAATTATATTATTCATAACTCTATTATAAATTCGTTCTGATAATGGTTAAATTTTAGCAGTAGGTACCTCATAAATAATAATTAAGTCATAAATTTGTAATATCAGATTATTTGATTTTAATAATTTCAAGCTACAAATTCGAATGTTGCATGATTATTTATTTTTATACCATATTTTAAATTTTGATTATGGTGGACAGGTGGGCTAAAATTTTAACTGGTATACTCTTGGTATACCTAATGAATTCATCGTTGTTTTTATATGCTGCTAAAAAGTCATTTTCGCCGTTTTGCGTGCTCTTAAATACCTAAGTAGATAATTAAAAAATAATTCGTATTATGTGAAATATAAAGCCATAAAGGCTTTAATATTATTCGAATCGTGTGTATTCATAGTTTATGGTCATCGGTTTATAATATGTTACATATTATTAAGTTAATTATAATGTAAAACTGTGTAATGCAGTGTCTTGACAATTGTAATTTAWACAACAGTATAATGTTGTGTATCAGCTATCTTAAATTTTGATATCATAACTGGCACAGTGGCACGAAGGAAAATGTATAAACACGAACTGAATTACAGTAAACAAAATGTAACCTTATAGTAGGTACTAATAGAGTTACCTATTTATTATGATATTCTCACGAAAAAAGGACTTTTTGCACTTGTATTAGTAAATGTTTTTTCTTTAAGAACAAAGATACATCAGTCTTTATTCATTCATTATTCATTGTTTTATTATTTTAACTTTTAAGTGAACCATCATGTGGCATGTCATATTGTCGTCATAAACTCAATAATACCTGTTTAATAATAATACAATAGTATGTTGGAAATTACCATAGATAATAATAACTGTCACAAATTAATGACATTTTCAAATAAATGATAAAATTAAATACCAATATATATATACTTACCTATTACTTAATATAATATAACTTAACTACAACGTATTTTTACGTCATCAGAACCGTATAGAAACATGTGGTTCCTTAATAAATGGCAGGTACCTATAATATTATACGCTGTAACTGAAGGCTAATTTTATTTATTTWTTTGTATTACTACTTTTAATTACCTAGATGTCAATTTAATAACAATAAAAAATCAAGTACCTATCTTGAAACTTATTTTTGTATTAAAAATATATTTAGTTATATAGTAACTTAATTTTGCAATTAAATATGYAGGTATATATAGTTATAACAAATTGATTTACATATATATGATAGTAACAAGAAAGTAGTATTTTCATAGTATTTATGTAAATTACGCGTTATACCTATTGTGCTTATTTTAGTTGTCAATTTGAAAAATTTTACCAGGTAAAATATATTTCAAATTATACATTCTAAAACTCTTGTCATTTCTTCAAAATCATTTTGAACATAAAAATGATTTACCATTGTAGTCATTGTAGGTATTTTATTATATTCAATTAATTATGAATTATGAAACATGAATTTCTTTTAGAAAAATGATGATGCAGACAACATCCAAGTGGAATTAGTTATAGTCGGTTAGATAAATTTTTTATACGGATAATTTCACTGCCGCTTATTACATTTAAGTTGGTATAAATTAATATTTTATATAAATTAGCTTTTTAAACTTTTAATGTAGCTAAATATTTATTATTATTTTTGCAATATTTTTATGTGCATTGATAAATGAACTTTGTTATCTTGAAATTTTAATAAAACATTAATCGATTACTTTTATAATTTCATTATAATACTATGTGTGTGCACATTTTATATACTTATTTAAATAATATGTCTGTACATTTATATTTTTTAAATATCTATTTAAAAACATAAAAATGTATTACTGATATTGTCAAGGATGATATAGTATTTATAATTTAATGAGGTATATTATATCCATTTCTTTTATTTATTCATAATTTTAAGTATTGGTTAGATATTATATACCAACATTTTTTTTAGTATTTTTTTTTGTYCAGTTTTTTTATTACATAAGCTGAAACTTAAAATTGCAGATTATCCTTTAAATTTAGTATTTGTTTAATAAATCAGTTAAATATTTATAAGATCGTTAACAGTTTTTTGGTGTTCATAAGATGTTATAATTGATATGATTAAGTCTTATTTCTTAATATGTAGACTAACACTATAAAGGTGTTACTCTAAGAAATGTACTTTCTGTTTGTATATAAAATGTCTTTAATAATAATTTTATGAATATCATTGGTATAGAATAGTTAACTAAAGAATTAAAGAAACTCGTCTTCAATCAGATGATAAAGAGAAAGTCTATTGAGGTCAGTGGCCTCAGCAAATAATGGAGTTGCACCACTTTTTCATTCTTTTCTGCGTTTGACTTCACTCAAGTATCACTTTTTGACTTTACATTAAACGTACAACTATTACAGAAAATGGATGGTAAAAATTAAAATAATATATTTGCTGAGAGCACCACTGTAAAAATTCAGTATTACTGTTAAATTGTTGTTTAGCACTACGCTGAAACACAACATGCTCTAACAGCAATAATTTTCTAAAAATAAATCAAGTGCCCATGTTAAGTCTGAAATGTCTTGTGACGTCAAAACATTAAATGTTTACTTATGATGCATTTTGAATGACTTTATACGTGCAGTATATTATTGAAATGTGTTTCGAAAAGAACGTGTCGAAAGAGGAGAAGATCGGTTATTGGTTATCGGCTATAGTTTATTATTGTTGTCTATAGAATCCTTATTAATATTATATTATAATAAACTCTTTAACGAGTTGCCGCCTTRTATGTGTAAACACTCGGGGTCATCGTGGTCTAAGTATTTATTTATATAAATCAAAAACATCCCAACTTTAAATTACGGCATCGTTCCTGACGTACTTCTCATTATACGATATTCGCATAGGTCGTATTACATACATGTCGATCATTGCACTGTTAGTTATAATATATAAGGTATATAATATAAATGTACACACATAATACATAAATGCGTCAAACACAAATGCACGCCTTTGTGTACACATGGACTTCAATATGAAAGTTACCTATTTAGCATAATTATATTGAATATATTAATAAAAGGTATATTGGGTCGAATTAATTTAAAACCTTTAAATTATAATAAGTATACTTATGCACGGAAATTAAGTTCACTGTCGTAAAAAATTTAAAAACTTCGCTTCTTATTAAAATTAACTTAACACGCTATAACGTATTAGTACATTTAAAATATACTGTTTTATTTATTGCATATTAGTATATTACCATAATATGAATGGTAATTGTGACTCTAATGTCATGCCGGGTTGAGTAAACGGAASTGCATATTTTACCCCAACTCCCAATATAGAGAATTTAACATAACATAAAGTTGTATTTATCTAAATGAAATTTAAGTTTTAATATAAACGTTTTTAATTRCCTACATATTGTATAGGTACRCATTAATTAAAATTATTATTATCCTATTCAATGTTAACAGACAACCGCAGTGCATATATATTACATACACAAAGTGCGTTAGGGTTGAACGGATCATTTGATATTTAAGATTTTAATATTATATTAATACACCTTCTATAATATGTTGGCTGAAAATAGATAATCCATTCAGATTTGATAAAATTTTTAAATTTAAACACGTTTAATGTATTAAGAACTAGGTATATTAYATTGAAATTTTACACCTGTCTGGTCCTAATAATAACTCAATCAACACAATATCAGCATTTATTTTTGTATTATATATTTATTTTTATTTTTAAACTAATATTATTTAATTAATTATAACATTATTAAATTAATTTAAGAACATAATATGTTATAATATTAATTATAATATTATATAATATTTAATAAATGCTGATATTGTATCGATTGAGTGAATGTAAGTATTATCTGGTATATTTTCATAATCAGAGCAGCGTTCYTTATCATATTATATATTTTGTATTTATATATCTTTCCACATGAACGTGATGCTCACGTGATACGATTTTATAATATTGATCACCTCCAATATACCTATTTGTTCTCGTTTCCTTCGTTTGACCGCAAACCTAAAAGTGCATTTAAATCATTCTGTTATCGTCAAACATTTTTGCGTTAAGTATAACTGCAAATCATTAACCTTCGTTGATATATTATCGTTGTCGCTGGTCCCTATATCATTTGATCCGATGATATGTCATGTATATTATACGGTGTTGTTTATTATTATTTGTTAATATTCACAATACACGTGTTTAACGTTGTAATTTTTTTTTTAAATTAATTTCTTTTGAAATCTTTCGTTTGGCGAATACGTAAGTGTTGTTATTATAATTATTTTTCAGATTTGAGGTTCGCTCATTTGAAGTGAAATTGATATAACACATGCTGCTGCCCCATGGCATACTGATCATTTCCTCGTTTTGTATTTCGTATTATTCTACACATATAGGTATTCAGTCTAGTCTTCGAAAACGTGAAATAACGCCAGTCGTCACTTTATTATTGTTTATTTCTCACAGCTTGCAATCGCATTGTACTTCCGACTGCTGATATTTACAATGCATAGATAACTAATTATTCGTTATTGTGAACTAATAAATAATCACACAGAAATGTGATGCACGTGCGTTAAATGACACATTTCAATCTACCTAATTTTTTTTTTTTTATAGGAGCTTCTTTATTAGCTACAGTTTCTCTAATACCTATGTATATACTAATATAATTTATTACGTTAATTATTAGATCAAAGGCTGACGTTTCTGCTTTTATTTGTAATTGGTTATGTATTTAAAACTATTTTATTGTATTTTCACTTTTGTTTGTTCATGTTGTACACACATAACACATTTAAAACTAAATTTATGCATCCGTAATGCAGTGTGGTAAAATACAAAATAAATTTATTTTATTATTAGCTGAATTAGTATAATTGTTAATATTATGTAAATAGTTTATTCAAAATTGTGGTAATATAGTAGGTACTAGGTAAAATTTTTATTGGAATTTAAGTTTAATTTTTATACAATTGATTTGGCCTTAACAATGTATTGCTGTTACGATTTTAATTTTAAATTATATTATTCATGTATACTATTACSACTTGGGAGTTGGGAATAGTTATCATTTTGATTTTATAAAATGAAGTGTTTATTGAAAAGATTAAATGCTATATATTTATGCATTTTAGATTCGATTATTTTGATTATAAAATCTTTTAATATTAAATGGTATAAATATATGATCAGAAATTCAAAATTATTTGTGGATTCGAGTAGAAAGTTCTATTAAGAATTGACTAGTAACATTTTTATCGTAAYGATTATGGAAGGTTAATGAAATAATAACATTTTAACGACTGCTTTTAAATAGTTTTGTTGTTTCTATAGTATTTGTTAAATTAATATTTCATATTTTATAATTTATGATGTGTTTTTAACGTATGGTCTATATGTCCAATAGGAGGATAGGCACTTTATATCCAAACATGTTTTTGAACATCCAACTCAAAGAATTTATATTTATCTTGTACTACCAGACTGATGGCTATACTAATTATTGAGTGATTAACTGGTAGTACTACCAGTTTATAGGGCCAGTGTCCATCATTATACTATGATAATAGACTCTTATTTCCACTCATAATTAAACAAGTCTGCAACAAGTCTCCATTCCGATATGCTCACGGCTGTATCCCAGGCCCTTGCACATAATATCATACCTCAGTTTTTACAAAAACGCCTTAGGTGTTATCTATTTGTTTGTTACAMATAAAATAAACATTTTGCGTTATGGCTACATATTGTATTCGCAGTGGTAACTAGCAAATACATACAAAAYTACAGACCAAAATATAAACTATGGTCGCTAAATTACTTAAATCGTTGTACTCGTGTTAGGTATTAAAGTAGTTTTAAAATAAATGTAATCGTTCGGAGTTCTTAAATAATATTAGCTGACACGACAATAATTGTTCTCTAATGTGTTGGTTTGCAAATAAGTCATTAAGTAATAAATAATATCTCGTATAAGTTAATTGTAAATGCTATTTCATTTATGGTTCAAACGGAAAACGATATCGACTGTAATAATTTATAATATTATCATTAAATACTATTCAAAGTACTGAATATCCAAAACCAGCAGAGACAACGCCTTTCTATGACTGTTGGTAATTCAATCACGTTCTATGATGAAATTCATGAGTATACTTTGTATCGGTATATTATATTACATTCAGTTCGRTAGCGATTGCAAATAAGTTTAAAAATAGATTTTGAAAACATTTAATAATTATTATTCTTAACGTAACATCATTTTCGTGCAACATTCCTGGGGGTTCTTGTGAACAGTAACAATAACAATAACACGACTGTGCACATTAAATACCACATCACCACGTGACTGAAGACCACACTTTGTTGAAAACTCAACGTTCTTACGTCGTGCCAACGGTCAACTAAAATAAACAAATTTTTATGTCGATCGGCGTCGGACGATCATTATTTGAAACCGCGCGTCGTATAATAATTTTGCGCATAGTTTTTGTGTATTTAATGACGCACGTAATTTAAAAAATAATAATAATAAAGTAACAAAAAAATAATATAATATCAATGTATAAGGTGAATCCAATTCACAACTATTTAGTATACATAAAATATGAGGTTTACCTTGACCGTATGAGTCTTGTCAGTAAAACGTATATGCATTTTGTAATTAGAATTCCAAGGGCTTCGCGATGTGTGTTCATTAGTATGGAGGTGACAGTATAATATGTATACATGTATAGCTTGGGTATATATATATATATATATATATATTATTGTTTTGTGCGTAATTTTATTTTGGATGAGAAAAAGCGGAAATTGGCGGTGTCAAGAATCAAAATGTAGTGGTATATTCAGATATTCTCTATGCGTGTATCACTCCTAATATATTGCAYAATACATTTATAGTTTGTCGCCTCACTATATGATGCATTCGTTCATTAGGGTCTTGAAATCGTTAAGATAATAATGTTTATAATTTTCATTTTTATTTTTCAGCAAACCGAAAACGAATGGAAGAGCTCGCAGTGCAATCCTGTGAATTCGTCGGCCAAAAAGAACCACAAGAAAGAAAACTCGCTGTTGAAATTCTTGGCGTTGGTATGTATACGATACATTGTCGTCGACGACAGAAAAAGCCGTCCAAGGTTTAAATTCTCAAAATTATCGGCGAGATGGTAAAGTGTRGATTTTGATTGTTTAGAACGCTTTGGAGTTGAGCGCGCCCGCCAGTGATGTGTTGCTGCGCAACAACAGCACGACCACAGCTGCTGGTGCGGCAACGGATACCGAAGTACGAAATGCCAARTCTCAAGAAACAGTGGTGGCTTCCAACGTCCAGCCGGTGACATGCAGGTCGGCCACGGGCGTGCCACAACAACAGTCGTGGTTCCAGCTGTCCGGACATCCGGACTGTTTCGCACCTGCCGGCTTGGGCACGATATGGAAGAAGTGCAGTGGCGGCACCGAGCGCGACGTGTACGAAGCCCTTTCCAACGAGCCCAGTCTTCAGGACATCGTGCCGAAGTATTACAGGGAAGTCGAGTACAACGGACAGACGTTCATCGAGCTGCAAGACTTGCTGTACGGGTTCCGGGACCCCAACGTCATGGACATCAARATGGGCACGCGCACGTTCCTCGAGTCTGAAGTGAAAAACTCTACGGCGCGACAAGACCTGTACCTCAAGGTGAGAGCGCAACCTGCAAAACGACATTAACCCTCGTCTGCCATACGACCCACGCCAATAACGAGGAATGTGCTAAAACAATTTTTTGTTTTTTGTTTTTAATTTTTAATTCAGATGATCGCCGTGGACCCCGAAGCACCGAACGCCGAAGAACGCAACCTGCAAGCGGTCACCAAACTGCGGTACATGCAGTTCAGAGARGAACAGAGTTCGACATGCAGTCACGGCTTTAGAATTGAGGCTATGAAGGTAATATACGCGCACATTTGCGAGTGCATTAAAGCACCGATTGCTGTTTTTTTTACYATACTAACTGTTGTGATAACCTGATAGTTTCGAGGTTCCCCGCCCGTGACGGACTTGAAGACTGTGAAGAGCGACGAAGAAGTGAATAACACGCTTGCCTTGTTCCTGGGCGACCGCCATGACATCAAACAAAGGCTGGTGGCCAGACTGAATGAAATACGGTCGAAATTGGATCGTTCTCATTATTTTAAAACTCACGAGGTAAGTCATCGGAAGACACGTTATGAAGACGACTTGTAGTCTTTTGATTAGTAAAAAAAYCTAAAAAATCAATAYTTTATTACAGATCGTTGGTAGCAGTATCTTGATTATTTACGACGATACTAAGGTTGGCGCGTGGCTRATTGATTTCGCCAAAACAAGACACGTACCAGAGAACACGGTACTTACCCACAGACAACCATGGGTGCCTGGCAACCACGAAGAAGGTTTCTTGTTYGGTCTTGATCATCTCATAGAGGTAAGTTTATCATATTCACGTCCAAAAGTCTATACTTTGGCGATACATTGCTCTTAACATTCGATTGTCTTATTGTTTTCAGTCAACTGAGAATTTACATACTCCTGTCTCAAAAGATCCCGTAGCACCGTCGAGCTCTATTAAAGTGGAAAATTGAATACTGTTCTTCAACTTTCTCGTGGAATTCATCTAGTCAATAATATTTTCACCTACACTACGTCGAGACGAACGTGGTTCACATCCTCGTTACTATCACGTGTTTACATTTTTACACAATTACTATTTATTTTTTTTCGTTTGTTCTTAAAATTAATTTTTAGTCGTATATATCATAACATAATATTGTTTTTTTTTTTAATATTAATTCGATCAGTGTTGACTGACGCGACTGATTTTGCCTGAGCATTTGTTATCAGAGAACTCATTAAAGATGCGTGRGAAAATAATAAATTATTAATTTGGCTTTATACTCATACTGCAACAGGTTTATGTACCTAAATTCTCGATTCACTTATTATAATAAATTGTCCAGTATTAACATTTGTATAAATATTACGCATTTTTATTTTTAACTTTTTTTTTGTATTTACAAAATATACATTTATTTATATGTACATATTATAATGATTGTTTTTGTTTCTTTTTGTGAAAATTTATTCTTTCTTTAAATTTTCCAGATGAATAATTTTAAATTATTATTTACAAATTTAATTGTTGTACATCTTTTCATACTGGAAAATCATAAATTGAAAGTTTTGTGTTGATCATAAACATTTTATGATCCTTTAAACTTTTATTTGTTAATTATTGAATTCTACTATATTCTTCATTATATTGTCTAAATTAGTATTAATTAACACACAAAAGCATACATAGACTTCGATCTCGGATATGAGCTTTTGTAGATTAAAAGTGGGCCATTTTTAACAATTGTCCAAATAAATTTTGAAAATATTTATCTGTTTTATACACAAAGGTAGGCTGTTTTAACTATTTATACAATTGGTAGAGCCTATTATAATATATTTCTTAATTTTAGGTAAGTTTTTTTTTTTTTTTAAAGTAAAAGTGAAAAAATAAGTTAACGAGTGGGTGTCGCTTTGATTTACTGACATACAGTGTCAAGTATTTCATTGTGATAGATGTGTTAGATTTGAATTCTAAGATAATTCAGGGTCTACAAAAAACGATTTTGAGCAGAAAAAGTATGGGATACTTGAATAAAATATAATKAACTTAATAGTTTTAAAAAAATGTATAAACATCGAAGATGGCTATAATTAGCGTAACTTTCTGGTAAATTTTTATTTGTTTTAGGTMGAAAAGCTCGTGGAAAATCATCTATTAATATTGTATAAATGTTAGCTATGAAAAGAAAWTTTTTATGAATTTCTGACTAAAAATAATTTTTAAAATGCTATCAAAAAACTTGCATTAAAGTTCCCAAGCTTTTTTAACTAGTCATAATTTCTCTTGATTATAAACAGCTCAAAAAGAGAAAATATTTTGACATTTGTATCATGTATGGACATATAGTGCTAGTGTCGCAAATAGGAGGAAAAACCACCTGTTACTCATCCGCTATACTATACTTTTAGGGAAAAATACTACCCTTGACTACAGTCCTCCTCCTTATATATGTCTTGTTCGTGTTGTCTTGCAACTAGTAGTATATCATTTCGTTTAATCATGATTAATAGTCACTACATCACTAGTCATATTATATATATTTAAAGGAAAAAATTGGATTGATTCTAAAATGTATAGACCGTTTAGGAAGTTATATAAAAGAGAGACCTTTWGGGCATTGGCTATTGTTCTTTGCTACATTACCAGCGATACGCGAATGACCCGTAACATTCTTTGTTTCGATCAGTCGGTATACAAATCAAATTTTTGTTTTTCCTAAATCTTGAAACTTGATCGACTATCTTAAATAAAAAAAAAACGATTTCGATTGAATTATCTCTACTTCCATAGAAAAATATGTCCTCCATATCTTATCATTTTGCTTAAATATCATCTGTATAATTTTAGTCACGACTCATGGATATAGAGAATCAAATGCAAAGGGGTGCTGTGTTGAGATTTGACTACTCGAAATGACAAGAGTTTGAGACATGGAATTGTGTGAGTGAAAACGTCACACAGTGATTCAATAATGAAAATAGTGGCCAAAATTTAAGCATTCACAGAAATATTATAAAGTGACCGGTTTTTTGCTTAAAAATGTGACTTACAAGAAAAACAAAAAGAAGATAAGATTTCATTGTTTAGTTTTTTTTCTTTTTTTTTTCGAAAAGAGAAATAATTCTTACAGCTTACAGAACACATTGAACTTCAATTATTATCTATCAATGTACTTTTCTTTAAACTTATGGTGGTGACTGGCCACAAATTAAGTCCCTATACACTGCAACGTTAGAATATTGAGTAAATAAAATACTAAAAAAAAATATAATGCTAAATTTAATTATCTTACTTCATCTATATTATCGTAATTCAAATTTAAATTAATAGTTATACTTCATAAATGACTATAAATTATTATTATTAAACATTAAGATGACTGCAGACTTTTAGAAATTATAAAAAAAATGTTATTTAACTCAAAATTAAAATCAAAAGAAATACAATTAAATTAAATCAAATCAATGCTATTGCATCGATTTTTTTCTTCAGGTTTGTTGTTACTATCATTTGCATTATTTGTTATTAAAGTATCATCAACTTCATCGTCAGATTGTTCTGAGTTAACACTGCTTGATGATTTTTCATGTTCTTCCATGTGCTTCTTTAGCGTAACYCGTCGTGAAAATACTTTGTTACAAAACTCACAAATGTAACGAGTATCTTCATTTCTGAAAAATGAATTAACTTTTTAACATCATGTTTGATGATAAATAATAAAAAAAAATAAGATTAGATGAACTACTACTTTTTAGGTAAACTAGGGAGATCTTGATCAGCTAATGCATTGCAAGTGGTCAAATGGTTTACAACAGCTGCTTCGCTCAATATACATTTTAAGCACATTTTACAAACCCATTTAGTACTGTATTCGTTGGGTGAATTATCATAACGTATCATAGTTCGAGGGCAAAATAACTTCTCTTTTGGTTTGTTGATCGGAACTCTGACTTTTCTTCGTCTACGTGACTTACAGTTTACAAATGGATTTTTTGACATCTTAAGAGAACGGAAATTCTGTAGAAAAAAGTTAAAAAGTATTAAATSATAAACTGTATAAGTATTAAGAATAAAATAAATATTTATAAGGAATATTATTTTAACAAATAAAAGAGGYAATTGCTCTGCTATACAATACATGTCAAAAAAGCTACTGTAATGAACAATGAACATGTTAATCAAATATAAGTATTTTTCCAGAAATAAAATATACCAGACCCCCATCTATATCCATGTCCTTCCAACATTATTGTCAGTAATATAATTCTAGTGGTTTGGTGAGGCATGGCTCAATTTGCAGAAACGCACTGAGCGTCCGTACCAGCTGCAGTTACTAGCTGCTGGGTGGTCACTGGTCAYCTATGCGGGATATTTAGCAACATATCCTTGCCATACATTCTCAAATCCATGTTATAACCTACCAACTTAAAACCTACAAACAAATACACAAAAATAACTCCTATTGTACCACCCCACACCCAATGGCCTATATTGCTGCAGGTTACCAATAAAAAAAAAATGTATAATACTGCAAAAAATAAAAAAAATAAACGAGCTAGTACCAAACTACCAATGTTTGATATGTTATAATAAACGAGCTAGTACCAAACTACCAATGTTTGATATGTTTGATTCTACTTCAGTAATTTCATTAAAAACCCAAACTAATTTAATATTGAAGATAATTTAATTTTTATACCCGTCAACTTCAAATTTTAGGATAATATAATATAACAAGAAACACCAAAAAGTTACCTTAGTTTAAAGTCTAAATGTTATAGAACAAGCTGTAAGAATATTGTAATAAATCAATTCAAATAAAGAATAAGGCAGCTTATTCCATTTATGAAGGAAATATAAGTATCATTTATTTATTACTATATTATAGATACCTAAGCATATTTTATTATTCAGATTMATTTACATACATAAAAGCCAAATAGCACTCATTCATCACTACGTTTCAAAAACATACTAACTTGAAATTTGGAATAGTGGTTCCTCTAATGATCTAGATGTGCAATAAGAAAGGATTTTCCAAAATTTGCATTTCAAAGAATTACACCAACCAACAAGCATTTTAAGGTTTACAATGAAAATTTGAATATTTTATTATTTTTATTTATTGGTTACTCGAGCAATTGAGGTAAAAGCATACACCAAATTGTCACTCTTATGCCCTCAAGTAAATAAATTATATTTTAAACCAATTAATACAAACAAGAGCTTATTTATAAGATGATTCTTCTATATTGTAGCCTAAAGACTCAAAAACCACTCTACTGTTTTCAACAAAAATTTCAAAAAATTTTCTTAGAGATAGTTTAGTGAATAGTTTCATTAGTTTCCACCATGTTTGTAAACATACCAAAAGCTATAAAATTTTAACTGAAGAACACTAGAACAGAGATACAATAATATAACACCATATTTTGTAGTATTTATTTTTTTTTTCAGGCCTAACTCATAACAAACACTAAGTCTGACTGCCAAAATACTAACTTCACTATTGCTTATATACATTTAAAAATAAAGTGCAAAAAAATTTCAGTTGAGTAATAAACTTCAAAATTTTTTTTTGTAATCGTTTAAGCTCAAATGTTAATTCAAATATCAAAATCACGGAACTTTGCAAAGTATTATGTTTAGCCATTCAGGGTTGAAATGCTTATTAATGCAAATTAATAAAATATGAAATTAATAAATACGTTCATTTATTTAATATTATTATACTTGTAAAAATGCGAGAAAAAAAAGTGGGTAAGTAGGTAACACTCTGCTATACATTAGTTGTATATTCACTATAATAGCTAGTGTAATGGATATGTTAAATAAAATTCAATGACATAAAATTATTATATACAGATTGGCACAACTAGTGGAGGCAGTGCTTTAGGTCTTTAACACCCTAAACATTTTTTTTAAAGTTAGGTCCCATTCAGGAAAATTCAAATGTATAAAATAACACAATTTATCCTTAAGCGATTTTTGTTAATATTTTAAATATATTGAATGCAGAATTATGAAACATTCCACTGTTCCTTAAATTCAAGTTTGCTATACTCAATGAAATTTTTAAAATCTGATATTTATACCTGTATTTATAGATATTTTTTGAAGTGTTGATTCTATAAGCTCGCTATAATACTAAGAAATTTATTATTAGATTCCACATATATTATTATGGTTTTGGTTATGTAATTTAAATAAGTGAATGTTGAAAATTTGAAAATTATTTTATTAATAAATGTGTATAAAATGTTCAATTTATAGGCTTTACAGTTTAGGTAATACAACTGTTCTCTTAAATAGTTCATATAAAACACAGTTGTAAAAAAATATGTTAAAACAATTATTTAAAAAAATACTTTAAGCTCMAATTCCATGGGAATTTGATACTTCAATCATGGACATTGCTAGTTGCTCATTTTTTGTATTTTTTTGTTTGAACTCAATGTATGCTGATAACTCACTGGCAGAAGTATTTTTCGCTCATCAAATTTATTGTTAAAATACACCAGACCAATGTATAAAAACAGTAAGCCAAATTAAAATTGGTAGATAAGCTACCTGTTTAAAGACTGAATATTTTAACCGAGAAAAGTCTGACCTGAGACATTGTTTGATGAGCACTCTGCATTAACGCGACTACCTGACTTTCTAATACAGAAGTCTGTATAGTGTGTAAGTGTATTGATTAATTCATCCATACAATAAACATATTATTAGGGATACAATATGTATATTAAACATTATTGAGAAATTTAGAATAATGATTAACTAAAATAGCATGATTTTTATGGTTAAGTAATATGCAATAAGATCAAAGCTAACCAATAAGGCAATAAATAAATAATCAATATAAAATCGWGATCGCTTATGAGAACTCAATATACCTACCAACTAAGTATTAAGTATTTATCAATATAATAGGTGTTACGATATTATTAGATTAATCACTTTAAGTACTTACAAATGGCTTTGTAACTGACTGAAAATGTCAAGAAGTTTCAGATCACAGACGACCAAATCACTCAAAAGATAAATTTCAAATCTTTAATTCTTTTCTTCAGCAGATTATAATAGCCTAGACTGAATACAGTATGGAAGCACAAACGTCGTATGTCTGTGAAGTTAGCTCCCGGACGTTTAGCGTTTATCAATTCTGATAAGGTAAGTAACCGTAATACTGCATACTCTATTGCCTATTCATATCTTACAAGGGGTTTTAATACAAATATTTATTTTTCAGATATAATTCGCAGAATAATTCAAGGTGAATGAATAATAATAATWATTATTATTRAAATTATAATATTATTAAATATTAATACAATAATTAAAACAATAAGAATCTATACTGCACATTATGTAACAACATAATTCAAAAAAAAGATAAAAGAATATAACATAACAAAATATTTTAAAGTATTTTACTAATCTGAACTAGTATACGAATATAATTCCATAAAAAATAATTTTAATACAAAATATATATGTTTACAAATATAAGGAGTTTTAATAAAAATATTTAATTTTCAGATATAATTCAAGATGGATGAATAATAATGATTATTATTATTAAGATTATMATATTATTAAATATAAATAAGTTATGTTAATGCAATAAAAACAAATAGAATCTATTATGCACATTTTATAACAACCTAATTTAAAACAATAGTTATTATAATTATAATTAGAAAATATAACATGGCAAATCATTTAAAAGTATTTTACTATTCTGAAGTAGTACCAATARTACCACAATGTGAATGCTACAATCATGGTTAGGATAATTATTAAAAGGGTACTTGATGATTAAAGTTTGAAAAATCTATWCACAAAAATCAATATTGGTAAAATTAATGAAAAATAAAATTGAAAAGTGGCTGACGCGCCCGCAGGCAAATGTGTTTTGAGTAGAAAAAAAAATTATGAAAAAATTCTATAGTTGGAATTTACACTGGAGAATTCAGTTTAAATGCTACAATCTAGGTTAGAATAATTATTAAAAGGATAGTTGATGATTAGAGTTTGAAAAATGTGTACACAAAAATCAACGTTGGTAAAATTAATGAAAAATAAAATTGGAAAGGGGGTTTGGCGCCTGCAGGCAAATAATTTTCCAGAAGCAAAATAAGATTTTGAAAATATTATACATAAGGAATTTACATTGATGACTTCAGTTTGATTTATACAGATCAGGAACTTGATTATTAAAGATTGAAAAATGGATATACAAATATCTACTGGGTTAAAAAAAAATGAAAAAAGAATAGGAACGCTATATGATCAAAGATTGAGAAATGTATACACAAAAATCAATTTTGGTAAAATTAATGAAAAATAAAATTGGAAAGGGGGTTTGGCGCTAGCCGGTAAATTATTTTCGAGAAGCAGTTTATGATTTTGAAAAAATTATACGTAAGGAATACACATTGAAGATTTCAATGTGAATGCTACAATCATGGTTAGAATAATTATTAAAGGGGGTGTGGCACACGCAGTCAAATGTGTTTCGAGAAGCAAAAAAAAAGTTTTGGAAAAATTGCACATACGGAATAGACATTGAAGACTTCAGTTTGATTTCTACAGATCAGGAACTTGATTATTAAAGACTGAAAAATGGATATACAAATATTTACTGGGATAAAAAAATTAAAAAAACAATCTAATCTGAACTAGTATGCATATAATTCCATAAAAAATAATTTTAATATAAAATATATATGTTTACAATTAATATAAGGATGAGTTTTAATAAAAATATTTAATTTTCAGATATAATTCAAGATGGATGAATAATAATGATTATTATTATTRAGATTATAATATCTTCTATATAATAAAATTAAGTGGCGGGATATTCCGGATATTCGTGACCATTTTTCTCAAGAGATATTAGACCGATTCAATTTTTTTTTTTTTCAATACATTATTTTCATCGAGAAGAAGAACGTATCGCCAATTATATTCGTGTCAGGACGCCACTGGTAGGTGTTCAAACGGGGATTATGAGATTTGCGATGGAAATTATATATATACATATTATATAAATTATTTATTGAACGGTTGCCCTCGGTTACTACATTGTTTTATAGGAATTATCTTTAAATTATTGGTTGAAAACATATTCTTATAGATCTGTTGTTATATATACTTATTTATGTTATTATTATGGGAAAAAGAAAAATTATTGGAAAATCTTCATATTCTTCGATAAAAAACAAAAAGTACAAGAAAAAAAGGCGGGTAAGTCGTGGATGTCGCTCTGCTGTACAGTAGGTTACATCTTACAAGTGGGTTACTGTAATGGATGGAATTAAATTTGAATCCAATGATTTTTTTTTCTCGTGTCAGGCATCATATAATTAAATTTAAAACAAACTTGTAATTTAAAAAACAAAACWAAATAAATAATATCAAATAAGTAAAATATGAATAATAATAGCACACTAATATAATGGTAACAAGTATTGCGTGCTAATTATATCTTTTCTTTGGTCCAGTATATGGCTGTATTTACCACCTTCTTGTTGCCTATCATAAGGTCCTCTTGTGTACATGGACTTGGCCCTCTTGGGCAGACAAGTAGGTGTGACGTTGKCTGATCTTGCCCACATATACAAGTTATGTATTGTTCTCCATATCCCCATTTTCTTATATTTTCTTTTGTCCGTCCTACACCAACACGCAGTCTGTTCAGTGTCTTCCRTACCGGCCAGTCTAGGTTGTTACCAGGAGGTAATCTTTCTGCTGGTTCCAACCATCTTTTACCATTGGTGTCCGTGATCAGTTTTTTCCACTCATTTAGCYTGCTTAGTAAAGGTGTTTCCGTTAGCTCTTCAGTTATCTTTAGGAAGGACTTTCTTGATTTCAGACGAGAAGTGGGGTCATTTTGGCCGTACATGGGGTGCCTCGTGTCTCTTTTTTATTTACCGCGTTCAATTTTAGAGGATATCAGACGTCGAACTGATGGTGGATGGATACCTGCTAGTAGGTAAACTTTGTCCATTGGTGTATTTCTTAGGCATCCTGTGATTAGTCAACATGTTGTATTTAAGGCGATATCTATTTTCTTCGCGTGAGTAGAGCTTCTCCAGACCGGGCATGCATACTCCCCTACTGAGTAGCATAGTGCCATCGCTGAAACCCGTAACGCATGTGGTTGTGCGCCCCATGCTGATCCCGTTAATTTCCGTATAAGACCGTTCCAGGTATTGATTTTCTTACTCGTTTTTTCGCAATGGGTCTTGTATGTTAGTGCTCTATCCAATGTCACGCCTAAATATGTGGGTGTGCTACAGTGAGTTAGTTCTACATCTTCCCATTTCACTATCAGTTTTCTGTTGGCCTGCTTGTTTCTCAAGTGGAAAGCACTTACATTGGTTTTACTAGGATTTGGCTTCAGATAATTTGCCCTATAGTAGTTTCCTAAACGGTCCAGTGTTTTAGAAAGTTTTGTTTCCACTGCTTCAAAACTATCTTCTTGTACAGCAATTGCCGAATCATCTGCATATACATAGTGTTTTATGTTGTTATCCGTAGATATGGGTTGGTCATTGGTATAGATATTAAAAAGCGTGGGGGCCAAAACGCTTCCCTGTGGTAGCCCATTTCTTATATTTCTCCATCTGCTGTTTTTCCCGGCTAGTGTTACAAAAAATCTTCGGTTACTCAGTAATGTTTGAATGACTTGCGTAAATTTGTAGTCTCTGGTTATCTGGTATACTTTAGAAAGCAATAAGCCATGGTTAACCATGTCGTACGCGAACGACAGGTCGATAAAGGATACCCCAGTAACTTTCTTCTCTTTGAACCCATTTTCAATATATTGGGTTAGGTTTAATACCTGCCCCGTACATGATTTCCCTGGACGGAAACCAGCTTGTTCCTTTATGAGTTGGTCATCAATGGCAGGGCATAGTCTGTTTAGAAGAATTCTTTCGAGTAGTTTGTATGTGTGACATAATAGAGAGACTGACCGGTAGCTAGATGGAGTATCAGGTTCCTTACCTGGCTTCAGCAGAGCTATTACTTTCGCCTTCCTCCAGATCTTCGGGATCTTTAAAGTACTCCTGATATTATTAAAAAGACTTAGCAGCCATAGTCTTGTGGTTTTTCCAAAGTGTTTTATCTGTTCTGAGAACATGTTATCTAACCCGGCCGCTTTCCCATTCTTTAGTGTCTCCATAGCATCATCAAGTTCCGTAAGTAGGATCGGATTTCCAAGTTCATGCGTTTCATTGTTTTCCGTTCGTATAATCCTCGGTTTATAAGGTCTGGGTTTTGTAATTTTATTTTTACCGTTCATTAGAAGATGGTGTGCAATTTGGTTTGGTGTTATTAATGGTACCTTTGGTTTTTCTCTTGGATTACTGTCTAAGCGCTTAATGAGGTTCCATGCTTTCTTACTACTCCTTTTCATATCTACTTCTGTTAGTAGGTCACACCAACGTTTCCTTTTCACCTCAGTTAATAAGTTCATTAGTTCTTCTCCCTTTTCTATCGTATCCTCATCGAATGGGTCGGCCTCATATTTATCGGTGTATTGTTCTAGAGTTTCTACTAAATCAGGTGWTAACCCTGGGATGTGCTTTATTCGGTTGAATGATGGTGGTAGTTTTGGGTCATGGATTAGTGTTAACCTGTTKGACTCTGCCCAAACTTCAACTTTATCGCCATTATTATCTGTTTCGTCGTACCMCCAGTTGGTATGGTGGCTATTAAAATCTCCTATAATAATGTGAATATTTTTAGTGTCGAAGTTAGCTGATTTGTCGAAAGCAAATGTTGAGTTAGGAGGTTTGTAAATAGAGGTCACAGTGCATTTTCCAACTTCTATAGTGAGAATCTCAATGTCATCTATCTCTGTTATTTGGCTTGTCGTTACATCAATTGAGGAGCGGACAAATATAGCGCTTCCATACTTCCTGTGTGGGCGTATTGCAACGAGCTTCATCCCATTGATTCTTGGATTATTCATATCTTCATTCCTATGTGTTTCTTGCACACATAGCACGTCAYATGAATTTTCTTTACATAATTCAGCAAGCAGTTCTTCCTTATTTGAGTTTATACCCTCAATGTTACATGAGGCGATCGTCAGTGCTGGCCCTGATAAGGGCCGTTTTTT